TTATATTGGGCGTTAATAAAAAAAAAAAAAAAAAAAAAAGAGAGAGAACGTGTGTTTTTGTCGATGTTAATATTATAAAGAGTCACCTTTCCTTCGGATTCTATAGAAGCATCATGCTGTTACACACCTCATAGCGTTTACATATTGCACATCGATCCAAGGTAACTGAAGGCTATTGCGTCCATCCGACTAAAAGAAGAACAACAAAGTATTACTGAATAGTTCATGACGCATAGCAGCATCTGGTAACCTCGAAACACGAATGATATGTTGGTTCACTCTCGTCCCAAGCTTCTCGAAGCGAACTTAATTGAAAGTTGACCGATGCTACTGGTGATACATCGGCGATCAAGCAGAATCTCCCGTGGAGCATAGTAGGATAGTTCCATAAGCAGCACGCATCAGAAAAACTCGTTCGACGGTTCTATTCTTCGACAAAGCTATCCTTTGAGCATATTATAATATATATATATATATACGTATCGACTGACGATGACACTACGTGCGTTCTAGAGATATATTAGAGTTATTTCAACATTCAAGCATCAGCCCGTAATTAATGATTAGGTGGGCTGTCGCCCAAATCTAAAGTGTAACTTATTACTTATCGTCTTCCTCGAACAATGGATAAAAAAGTTATTGGTGTGGTGGCAGGTCGTCCTCAGCACCGCTATCTACAAGTTACCCATTAACTGATTCTAGCATTGAGGATCTGAGCTACCAAACGCCTGATCTAGAGGAACAATCACTGAGAGCGATTGGTTGTCTCTGTGACATATCTAGCTGTTGCATGCGCAATGATTGACATCTTCTGTTTTGTTAGAATAGTAAATATCGCTTTAGTCTTTGTAGTCGTAAGCTAGATAGAAGCAGTGGCGATATAGGCTTGAATATACTGAACGGTTAACGTCAAGGGTAAGTCGTTTAACTTTTAGCTCTAATCGAAGGGTTAGTGCCACTACGATTCCAGTAAGAATATACGCCGTTTCTCTATGGCCTAATTTATTTTATTGTACATAACATATATGGCAATACTTTATTGTCAAACAAAATTGATTCTAAGAGGACACTCCTATGCGAGTGGGTGGAGTGCTTAGCCTGAAGCTATAAATAGTGGGATAACATGGCCCGGATGGCTCATGCGCGCCCCTTTGAGTGTCCTGCCATGCTTACCGTAACTAACGACTATGCTACCACGCTAGTAATTTGAGTGGCGATAAAAATTATCTTTAGCTATAAATGATCATAAAAAAGGAAAATTGTGTATTATTATTATTAAGGTTAATACTTGCGAATATATATGGTTGTCATACCGTTTTATAGCTCTGTTAGAGGAATTCCCTATACGTGGAGCAAAGCCCACTCCAAATATTTTCGAATAGGGCAAGTCCTTGATGTTATATCTAAGAATAGCTGAAACTGGTTGAACAGGCTTCGGAAACCTATTCCGAACCGGTGCTATTGCCCAAAACTGCAACTTATGCAAAGAGACGTTAGAAGTTTATGGCACTGGCCTTGTGAAAGAATGAGAAACTTGGCGGTAGCATAATCATCAAAGGCAGCCCTGCTTTCAGGCCGGGCTCAGAGCGGCATGTTTGTTTCGTTACCTATAGGCAGTATATCGCCTAGTAGAAAATTTTTGAGCATTTGAGTGCATTTGAGCCGTGAACTTGTTGTTGGCTTTCAGAGGTTTGCCTCTAACGACTGCCACTGGCAGAAGCAAATCCGATAGATAAAGGTCAGAGGAATGAGCTCTTTGGCGCTCTACTTTTCAATGGTACCTTGTAAATTCATGCATTTGTAAGGGCTTGTCAATATCGATTCTGGTTGGTTATTTTTTACTAGCAGTTTGCAAAATAAGTGCAAACATCACTATCGCCATAGGGGAAATGCGTGTAAATTATACACTTGTCTATTTTTTAGGAAGTCTTTATTGGGACGAACCCGTGGCCTCCTAAGCTGACTCTGTTCTGTATTACAGACCTTAACAGATTAAGTTACTACAGACCTTTGAAAAACTGATGTTAATGGTTGCGTAAAATGTCTCGTTTTTAACTGACAGTAAAAAAAAATAGCCATGTATTTACAGAAGGCACTTGCGAAGTCAGGGCCAATTTAACAGATCTCTGTCTTTGCCAAAAAAAATATGGCTTGCATCAATGCATTTTGCAAATCCTCATTAGAAACGAGGACACCCAACCCTATAGGGTGAATATTTTTACACGTTTCGATTGAAGGTAGTCATAAAGTTGCCACGGATAAATACTTCCTCTAGCCTGTTTAGTGGAACTTGGCTGAAATAACTGGACTGCTTTTAAGTCAGATCGGTGAACACCAGCTTTACAAGTAACGCAAATGCGTAATGTGCATCCTAACTTTAAAATGTCCTGTAATACATATATAGTCACTTCTGTTCTTTAAATTTAAACGACATCTCATCGATAATTGAACTTCTGATTCCTTGAGAAGTTGACAGATGGCGATGTGATAAGCGGTCTATGATCCTGGTTTAGCGTCAACAGTACCAATCCCAGACCAAAATGGGCCGCTTAGTAGAATCATTGTAGTGGCAACATAAAGTCATGTTATAAAGGCAACAATAAACTCACATATTATTTCGTTGGTCAAGCGTCCGGAAACGGTACAACAACCTTTTCGTTTGGTGTGAGCAGAGCTAACGGCATATGTTGTTACTAACAAAAGCACCCATTAGCTTTAACAACAATAACGAGAGAGATAAACGATCCATCAGTTTGTAATACTATGACATATGTATAAAGCAGTTTTACTCTAAACTACAGATCGTGTTCAGAGTATATTGACTGAGTAGCAGATACTACTCAGAAGGAGCGAGACGTTTTGCGGTACGCCCCTGAGCTGCCAGAAACACTTAACAATGTCTGTCCTATGTGTCTCTCAAATAAAAACGAAGCTAAAAACGTAGTGCTCTGCTAATACTTGGCTAGTGCAAATTTGGAAGGCAACTTACGAAGTGATCATTGCTCTCCGAAGAATAGAAAAGGTCTTCTTCAACAGATAGACATAAGTCAATAGGCACTGAAGTTCTTATTAATTTGTATATACTCTGGTTAAATCAGAATCGATCACTCAACGTCAAAGTGGAATTTTTGCAGGTTTAGGTGTGTTAAAGGAATACACTTATTTATAGGTTATTTTTGATAGTAAAGTGATAGAAGGGCCTTAATTAAAAGTACCTCATAGTTGCGTACCATCGTAACAATCTCAACTTAATCTAGTGTTCGCAGATATTTCACACATTTCGGTATATCATAATAAAATAGATATGAAATGCTAATAGACCAGACACCAAACTGACCGTCACTCAAAAGAAAATCACCAACGTTCTATATAGATCAATTAGAAGGCACCTAACATGTATATCAAAGCCCACATTTTGTATTTTTTTGCATTTATTTGTGAGTATCATAGGAGCAGCCATTTAAAATGCAGCCCAATAAAGCATAGTTAAACTGGTGTGAAGTACTAGATACTGCGTACGTATTTACAATGCTATGTCTGACTGCATATCTCTATTCTATAGAAGCACTGCAGGACACCTGCCTCCGCATATAGAAGGAAAAAAGTCGTTTCCTCAAAAGTAGCTCCATACTAAGGCTTGCATATAATATTCAATATGACAATTCAGAGAAATGTGGTGTGAAATTAGAAATAAGCAATGGTAAATGAAAATGGTTCGATAAGCTCCTATCCTGGTATTTGCCTATCCAGCCGTTGGTACCGTACTGCACAGCAGTGCACACGATACTGTTGAAAGAAGTTAACCCTTAGCTTAATTTCTAACTGACGCCATTCTCGGGGTAAGAATTTACACCCGTAATATTTCTTCCGCCGAAATCCATCTCGATCGTCGACATCATGTGGCACCTTGACGATGACCCCCACAAGCAGTGGGTAGTGCTTTATTTATCGTGCATAGCTATAACATGATTATTCTCTGTTATTATTATTATTAAATGATGTATCCCAATATTCCATTTTGTAGGTACATTTTAAGCATTCCTAGTAGCTGTCCCATCGATGTGTCGAGCAGACGTCCATCAATTGCGTAAGAACAAGAATCGACAAGAATATTCCTTATGAACGGCATCTTTGCAGTCTACGTGACAACGCAATAGGTATCGTGTTTGCTTCCTAGACATAAGAACACGTAGCGCTCCGTTTCGGCCGTAGACACACTTCGTTTCGCACCGGGAAATACCGACTTCGAGAAGGTATTATTAAGAAAAGATTTCCAAAGAATGCCCAACCGCCTAAGTTCCGGACGTGGAACAGCACAGACGTCAAATAACACACAATCTAGCATCTCTATCCAACGTCAAAAAAGGTTTAACGTACCACAAAACGATACTTTTGTTAAACGCTAGTTGTTTATACATGAGAACGTTGCCTGGGAAATTATATTTGAATTAATATATACCAGCAAGAACCTTGTGCTCGTTGTGCTGCTTACAAACGATACTGAAGTAATATAAGTGATGCCGTAACCAAACATTCAAGACAAAACATTCGCATGTTAAGAGCCAGGGACTAGTAAAAGAATAAGATTTACTAGAGATAAATTGCCTATGATGACCTACTGCGCTTCCACGAGCACAGGTGTAAGTAACTAGCTATAGGCCTACCAACAACACTTCCCACTAATCCATATCTACAAATAAACACATTTACTATTTCGTAGTAGAACGTAGTGTTGTATGTATATATGACTGATAAGATGATAGCCTTTAGTTCCTGAATTTTGTCGACAACGATAAAGGTTAGCAGGATAGAATTGTATTCAGCAATGGATAAAGGGTTTGTCAACACGTCGATCTTTCTCGCCATCTTCAAGTCCTACCATTTTGAAGAAAAATCGAAAGGAGTTCACTCTGCATTTGTGAATTAATCATGATTCATTTATTAAGCCTTGTTGGTTTCAGCGCTATTCGTTAGACGCGGTTACTGTTTTGGGGAAAAGATCATTTTTTTTCCTGCCCGTCGACAACGGTTGTTTTGTTCCCTTAGAGGATGCTGTTTTTTGTCGCTGTCTTACGTATACAACGATTTCCCTCTTACAAGGTTTCCTCGCGACGTGTGTGAAATGGATTAGTCATATATCCTTAGCTACACTGAGGTGGGACAGTGATCCGTAGCGACACGACACCTTACTTAAGGCGCTATGCGCATTGGTTGAATGAGTAGAACGATCTGATGTTCTAATAGTTGGCTCGGGGAGTTTCTCAATCCTACCGCTGAGGGAAGGAAGTCCTGGCTGTAGTAAATATGGCGCGACGATCACTCCCAGCGGAAAGAATGCACTTAGCCCGTGCTCCTGTGGCGCAATAGGAGCAAAAAGATTTACCCATCTGAATAGTTATCGTTTTAATGAAACAAGATCAGGGCCGAAATGCCTGCTGGGCTATTTTGCCCCAGTAGCATAAGCTCGTTCTTAGCTAAATATGAGCAGTCATACGAGAAGGCAACACGGAACATACGAGAGCCAATGCCCTTCACTCTAAAGCGCGTTTAGCTATCCAGAGGTTGTGCTTATTAATATCAGCATAACGATTTTCGCCCTAACATTTCAAGTTCTATCTTTAGATTAACATAAATTTGGCAATACGAGTGCAGAGGAAATCTTTTTGAATAAAAGCTAACCTTGTTTCGTCTGCAGTAAACACAGCAAGCTAATCTGGAATCATAGGGTCGCATTGGTTAGAAGATTTTCTGTCTGACAAACAAGTACGTTCAAGGGCCATGGCTATGGTTAAACTTCGAGTGCTACTAGTTCAGTTGATTACTCTGTCCAAACGTGCATTAACTAATTTTAAATGTATTAAAGTGAAGCAGAGCATCTGGATCTCAGGAACTCACTCGTTGTGCCATAAGCAGCGGTTTTCCTTTGAGTGAACTTATAATTTAAGTTCACTAGTTACAATTGAACTATTACAACTGCACTTGTTACTATGTATACTAGAACTTGAAGAGTATCAGGATTCGTTGATTTGTTGTAAAAATCCTCTTGAGGCACATGTGCCTGCTGCCAATCGTGTATCGGTTGTGTTAAATTGTATTCTGTTTAAAATGAAATTTTCAGTGGTTGTGACATAATCGGCGCATAAAGTTTTATTTAGTTTCTTTTACGAGATAACGAACTATGTTTACTCCAGAATAACAAGCGAAGTCGGGCTTTGGTGTTTGTGCTTTGTAATGGACATGGAAAAAGGACAGAAGAACACCCAGGTCTGAGGTGCACGATAGGTATTACTTCGTACACTTTATCAAATACTGAAGTCGCCCATTCCATGGGAATCAGAGAAGCCGTGCGAAAAAATGTTATGTGCTAATTGGCCTACTCAATTTTTCATCTTATTTTAGTAAAGCATGCAAATATAAAGGCAAGCAAAATTTTTTTCCTGACATCTTTTCGACTTTATTGTCTGTCTGTTGTGTCAATAATATCCCGTATTTTGACCGCGATAAGGTCAAAACGAACGATACAGTAGCTAAGCGTCTGTCTGTCATGCCGTCATTATGCCCCACTTGGGACGATCCATATTCTATGTAATTGCGTTCTCAGAACTGTGTTTTTAGGACTACTTACTGGCTTTAGGGTGTATGCAAAACAATATAAGAATACAGAGTAATTGTTACCGGCCAGGTACATATGGGCAAAAAAAGTAATGTTTAACGTAAAACACGGTGTATGGCTGTTCACAGTTCAACCCAGGTACAACGGTGTCGTACGATTGATTGTGAACGATCTCTAAAAAACAAAAGAGAAAAATACATCATTCCACGTTCGTTAAGCTGAAAAGGAAACGACGGGATACGTAGATAAAATCTATAACCTGACAAAAAATTACGCCATAAGCTTCGTTCTTTGCATGTGCCATAGACAGCCATCACCGAACTTGTTCTTTTATTGCAAAGAATAATTTCCATTAGCATAGATAAAATGTTTGCTCAAAGAGAAATGAAGGGTATGGAAATCAAGTGGTGATTCCTATCGAGTCCTTCACAACGAGGGCTTACCAACGTAGATATTCCGATTCGCTAGACTATTTTTTAATGGATATTTAATACAGCAGTAATAATAGGGCAATGGGCTTCGCGTCACAAAGATTAGCTCTCGTAGTAGAAATTTCAAGAGTTTAGTCAAATCAGGCAGTACGGTACGCTGTATGTAAACGATATTATCGTTTATAATTGTAAAGTGTGTTCTGCGCTACCAAAACGAGTGTAGATCTTCTTAGTAGATTATGGTTAGGCCTAGGTTCTTGTATGAAGGACCCATTGTGAAGAAGTGGGTACCATACACACAGTACAGGATAATATTATAGGTTTAATCGAGTTTCAGATTATATTTTCCAGTTTTACGGACTACTTACAATCATTTAGGAAGAGCAGTTAAGTGTAGTTGTTTGAAAGCAATACAACTTGGGCATCGATGCATGCGTCAGTATTAATCTATTCTTCGCACCAGACTTAGCCAGCATATATCTCTTGAACCGATACAAAACCTTTGTATTGAGAGTACTTGCTTCTAATCGTGCTCAAACTAGAAAATAGAAACTCTAACTTGATCAAAGCTTATAATCAATATACTGAAGACTTGGACGTTCCTTTCTTCACTGGTATCCATAAAAATCTTAATGATTCAAACAAAATATAATAAGCAGCTAAATCGAAGCGTCTAAAATCAGAGGGCTTTCGTTATAAACGGAAACTATTTAGTAACTTTATCAATGCTAATACCTTCACCTCATTGAGTGCAACATGTCTGCGCCTAATTTGCTTTTATTACTTGACCCTAAAAGATGGCGGATATAGGTTGTGAAGAAAGCTGTCAAAATGCAAAAAGCTTAAAATATTACAACATACAGATAACTTAGGATTCGTTAGTATAAAAAGTACAAGGAAACAAATTAACATCTTTAAAGGGGAAAAAAACCTTTTTCATTTAGGGCGTTTTAAATTCAGGTATTTTTCTACTTATAATGTTAAACCATATATATATACGCACCCAATGTGTGGCAGTGATTGAAGATGAAAGCTGTAACGCCCCTTACGGTAATAATTATTAAGAAGACTAGCTAAAGGCCCTATAAAGTTTTTGAGGCTAACGGTCAAATTGAGATCTGTCTAATAAAAATAACAACAGATTGTTATTGTGTGGATTTGTAATATCGTCTGCAGTTAACAACTCCTGAAATGGCGCGCGGAATGAATGCGTCCATGGTATCTTTAAACCAAGTTAGGTGAATTTGAATTTTTCAGGTAGAATATCACCTTCGTATTATTTTATGATATTGGCTGTTTTTTTTTTGCTTTGACGAATACGAAAGCACCAGATGTAAACAGAGGAAACACATTGAAAAGAGTAAAGTCAAGTTATCGAAACAACAACTTAGGCAACGAATTTAAAAAATAAACGAATAAATGAAAAAGAAAAGAACGCTATCATGTGGGCAAAATCGTTAGTAAAACTAGATGCTTTGGCACTCGATTCGGCTTTTTGAACTTTCGGGCCATCTCATAATAAGCGGATCACCAGCAATGGCCGAGTGCACGTTTGTAACTTGCCATGTCGAATTTGCAAAGTAGGCAGCTGTGCAGATCCTTGCTGTGCTGAAAAAAGGTTCTCAGACATACCTGTAAGATGAAGTTCAGCTTTCATAGAAGGGGCAAGGGCGGGAAGTTCTTGAAAATGACATGAACTAACGCGCGATATCTAACCTGTGTCATTTTTGCCACTCATAGCATAGCTCATTATACAATTTATGCATTTACGCATAGAAAGTTGCCTTCACGAAACTTTCGTGAATATAGTAGTGACGGAAAATAGAGACCTTTTTTTCCTATCTCGTATACAACTTTACGTCGTTGGAGAAAAAAGAAACGAACGACAGCGATGAGGTAGAGTCGAACGTTGTACGTAGCCTCTTTGACAAATGCATTTGTGTATCGCGCATATATGTGTATGACCATAGGAGGCCGCCTACAACATCTGATCTCAAGATCTGAATGCCATAACGAAATCCGTCAGACGGAAGCAGCTTTAACCGTTTGGGATACGAATGTACAGAACATGCTAAACCGTGAAGATACGTTTTTAGGCTAGCCAAATTGTGCGTTAACGCATTTATGTTGCCTTCCAGTTGTTGTATTCATCAGCCAGTGTCGCAGAGGCCACTTTGTGCCGATATTTTTTATGCTGTCTGGTGGGTTGTGGGCATTAGATAGACATTTGTAAAAGTAAGGTATCGCGCAAGCCATTCTCATATTCCTAGTATCCAGTGACGAAATGCCCCGTACATTTTAAGACCGATTTTATTTATTTGTAACCTTAGCCACCCGTGTTCTTCGTTAGCATGCTTTTTTCTTAGAAGTTTAAGAGGTTTCTGGGCAAAACGGGAATCCGAGGGATGGATGGTCCATAATATATATTCAGTTTTACATGGGAAAATATGGCTAGACTCGTTTATTCGGCATGAGGCGGTATATATTCTACGTCGTGGTAACAATAATGAGGTGCATGTGTTCGACTTGGTAAACGTGTTTTTCAGCTATCGAACCGACGTATGAAGCAAAAACAGAGGCATAATGAAGATGCGTAAACAAGGACCGTGTACGTCTAGAAGCCAAAATATCTCATAGACAGAGACCAAGGGGGATACAAAGATTTAAGACAGTATATTGAAAACCATCACACGTAAGTTAAGAGATACACACTTAACGGTTATATGTGACAAGAATTCAGCAAAGCAGACATGCGGAGACTCCGCCTAGGTAAGATGTGGCGGTAATTCGTTGAAGTTTGAAGTACTACACGTATTGCAACAAAAAATGGCAGCACGCTAGGCACATAGAGATTGTACGGCATACGCTCATGGATATAAATCGATTCTTTACTATTTATCATGTTCAATTTTCCTCGCTGGCGCCGCCCTACTCTATGCAGCTAAAGGCATTACGAAGAAAGTCTTTGCATAACAGATCTGCCATGGACAATATTCTATGATTGGTTATGATAGAAACAGGAACAACTGGAAACTATCGTTCTCAAAGGTATGTATAATTGATTTCGTGCAGCATACTCACAAAACGCTCAGCCTAGTCAGTAAGAGTGCCTAAGACATAGCTCATTTGGTATAAATAGGCTATAATATTATAGTGGCTAAAGCGGAACTATAAAAATCACAAAAAAAAAAAGATTCTTAAAGCAATAACATCTGGAAAATTATTATATATGCACGAGATGGAGTACCAATGTGATATTCTTGAAGCTCGTTTTGCTGATTTTTAAAAATGCACAACTGTAGTACACCTTATGATAATTCGACTTATCAAAAAGCGGTCGTAACAATTATCAGTAGAATAAACAAGAATTGATAAGGGTTACATATATGGTATTATGTTTCGGTGGAACGTCATAGTATCAATTACCAACAAAAGCATCAAGCCGAATTCTGTAGCTGTTATGGTTTCGCACGCCTGTGGCACGTACAAATAATGTCTTAATTAATGAAGTAGAATTAACCAGCATAGCTCATTTCGGACGTTTTCCTTTTTATGAGTAGAGCGTTTACATTGATCGAACCTTTAGCTGATACGTGTTAAACGGCCGTAAGCGATTGCCGGCTCAAGAACGGCCTGCTGATGCGTCCGTCACTGTCCTGTTTATGCCTTCGAGTGGATAAGAAGATGAATTGGCTTGTGCTGATTTGCTATACAAATCGTGTGGCCTTAGGCTACTGGTTGACCAACATCCGCATAGGACGTTTAGAACTCTGCCCGTTACCTTCCAGTACTGATTTTAAGGCTTCATAGACGTAACATCGATAGATCGGCAATGGCTTCTATTATTTACAAAGTAATGCGATTGACTCTAGCCACTCGCATAATAGGATCATTCCATATAGATCAAAATATTACAATTTTAGGTACAACACTAAAGAAGGAGAATGAAGACATCCTATATAGAGTTTACGGAAGATTTAAAATCGAATTCAGCAATATTTTACTTGTTTCTATAGCAGCGGTACATTTTTTGCTGCCGACTCTATTGTTAAATTGATGAAAGCAAGACGAGGGCGGAACTGCGATCGATACTTCAGCAAACGAACCACGCAGACGCTAAATACCCGTCATTGCTTCAGTGATACACGTACTATAGCCGTAGAAACATAATAATTATAAGAAAAAAACCGTTCAAAAACTATATTAAATCCACAATTTAGTGTATTTTTGCAAAAAAAAAATCCAATACGAAACGTACATATGCATACATGTACATACAGATAAAAGTGACAGATAATGATAAAATGCTTATGGCTAGCTCTAAATAATAGTTACCTAGGTCTAGCCGGTGAAATCTTAATTTCTGGCTTGATAATTAATTTGATTTGTATTTAAGTACCAATATTAATATTTTTTTTATTTTTAAACTTAATAATTTTACGTTAAATAAAATATAACACGATGAATATCATTATCGATGTCATCATTACAGCCATTGTCGAAACTTGGTAAGAACTATCGTAGAATTGCGATCATTCTCGAACAATCAACCAGCTATAGCTGTTCGTACGTTAAATTTCGTTCGATCTTTTTTTTATCTTATATATGTGTCATTTCTACCTTAATAGATATCATACTATAGTGATGGTATTAAATATAATATTTATCAGACTGAACTTCCGTCGATGTGATATTTATTTTGATTGTTGTTGTTAAGTTAGCTACTTCTGTCGAGCCAACGGAGATTCGACCGCATTGACCTTGCAGCTTTCCCCAAATAGTAGAAATAATATATTGACTATGACCGTGAATCGATAACAATAACAACGATTTCTGCTACACTTCCGTATATACACACATCCATATATTAAACTATTTTGTCAATATTTTTGGTCGCCACTAACAGTGCGCAAGCTCATTCGATCATTTCATCAAATGATCATCAGATACGATCTTTCTTTCACACGTTCTGCCACGTTTTTGCCAATCTGTTGAATACTTACAGAGAGATATATTCCGTTAAATGTTTTACACTGTCGATGATAGCGTTAAATAGGTGGACAACTTTCTCTTATCCATCGTCGTTAACAACAGTAAACAACTATTAAGAGTGGAGCTAGCGCTTTCCTATGCCTCTGTCATCACTGAACGGTACATTGCTGAGGATGCTTTGGACAGGTGTCGTCCTGCTCTTCAGTGAACGTTTCTTTCTCTCAGTCTGAAGAACGGCCTAGCAACGCAACGAACGGTGAGTCCGGGCCTGAGCGAGTTTATTTTTGCCAATGTACATATTTTCTATATAAAGATTGTTACACACACATATATATTATATCATTTATATATATATATATGTATATATGTATATGTATATATATATTGTCATATTCTATATAAAGATTGTTACACATATATATATATATTGACAAACATTTTGTGGGAAGTAATCATATAATTATATAAATATCTATACGTTTATGCTACGAAATCAATACGAAGGGATCTTCGCAAGATAGCAACACGAGGTTATTTCGCAATGCGATTTAAGACAGGGCATCGATATTTTCGAAGCAATACGTTAGTTGTGTATACACATCATCTGGGTATATATTTTGAATATGGCTTTTTTTTTGCAATTATTATTCGCATGTAGTACTTTTTCAGTAAACAGAAAGCCGATCTGCCTGAAATAACATAGGATTCTGTACCACTACAGTCTCACTCATAAGATGCCACATCGTGCTTTTTTTTCTATACAAATAATAACTGATCCAACGTGTTTCTCTGATATATATACATTTAGTCGAATTAACGCGCTCGTATCTAACATCAAATTCAGAAGAGGCTGACGCAATCTAAGTTAGACACAGTTTAAGTTAGAAAATGCTTAGACATCTTTTCTACCTCGACGGAACTTACCATTTCCTCCTCAGGATCAGTAACATCTTTTCATTGGTTCGCTTCCATGGACGTTTACCTGCGCTAATGATATTGTAATCGGCGTTGTTCCTGTTTGTAGGCCGGTTAAAGACGCCGTTCTATAGTTCTACGTAAATAGTGTGTGTTTTTTTTTCTAGCTCCTTTTACGCCTACTGTTAGCTAAAAGCTGTATCGCGTATCTCCATTAGGTAAATTAAGCTCAAGACAGGATAAGTTAAGACGGTGCAATGATACTACACTGAGGTAATTTCGTTACGATGCGCCGCTGATACTGCAAAAAATACGCTTTGCTTCTATTACTTTTGGAAAGGACCCCTAGACCAGCTGAAAACCTAACTACCTTTTACCTACTGTATGCATCCAGAAGAACGCCATTACTATAATTTTACATTATCATTCTACGTCGTATGTCAGTTGTATGTACGAAAATAGCGATTGATGGTTTTGATTATAACCTAGAGGCTATCGATCAGAGTCGCAATGAACTCTTCGAAACTCCGGGCAGAAACAATGTTTAAATTAATTGAAGAGCCGCAATTATTTTGATCTGGCTGCGTATTGATGATTATTGCCTATGGGGCACCCACCGAAGTGTTCCCTTTTGAAAAGATAGCTTCAACGGTTTGATTCACTTTGCCATCCACGCGTACGTCACTAGCCGCGGGGCCAGCTCAGTCTCCACTCTGCATATATCAGGGCGGCTTCAAGTTAACATGGACCATCGTTACCGTTGGCTGTACTCCAAGGTGTTGTCACTCGTAATCGCGAGTAACTTGCGAAGGACTGCACAAGACCGATGATTCATGATGCCTCTTTTTGGAATAGACAAAACTGTCTAATAAACATCCAAGCGGACCCTGCAGTCGGCCAAGCAGCGTTTCCTCAGCAGACACAGCTCAGCGGACAAATCCTGTCGAACATCTATAGAATAAACTCTGTTGTTACTGTGTCAGAGGATCGTTTCGGTCGCTCTTAAGTGCTGAAAACATGTTCGCTTTGGCATCGGGGGCTGTTGTACTGTTTCTATTTCGAGTTTTCAATGGGCTGGATGGCTTGAGTACAAGTACATGAGCCCCTTAACCGGGTTCCCACCGACTGTGATTGCCGTGTTGGCTGGTTATTGTTGACCTGCAACTAGTCCATCGGTTCTACAGTCGATGCTGAGCTGATTCGTAAACTGCCATTGCTCGCAGTACGGTGGCCGGTCTCAGATATCTGACCCGGCAGGGGGATATCTGCTGGCCCGCTGTGATGTATCTGGAACGGGATGAAACACGTGATCTCACCGCGTCTGCAAAATGAAAGTTAATCGATTTACACAACGAAACGGAACAAATAACAGAGGTCAACGGGTGGGGCATGTTCCACATGCGTGACAACATGGTTCAAAATCGAACTAAATAGAATGGGGTAAAAGCACTCCGTTATGCAAAAGTCAGGTGTCTATTTAATTGTGCAAAAGTCTAAGGCTATCGCTCTAAGTGCCAGTCACAGATATGTGGACACTTCCGTAACAATGAATTTATCCGTTATAGCTAGTACAATTATTCGATGAGTTCTCATTGTCTCCCTAGGTCCAACTGGCAATGGTGCTGACAGAGTGTCACGTGCATTTTCAAACGAGTGATGCATGTCGTACATCAATTGCTAAAGGCCTGCTTCTGTTTGCTAGTTGTGGAAAACCGGGATATTACTACAGCTACATAGAATGTTTGTCGGTCGTACGGTTGCTACATATGCTTGTTTACTGCACGGTGAATGAAAGCAGTATTGCACGTTAGGGACTTTTACTGGCTGCCGAACTAAGGCAACAAAAATTTTTTTTGGCGTTCGGCCTGAATGTGAAGCTGTTCGCCCTACTTGCGCCAAAGCCTACGCAGCTGAATGAAATCTATATATCAGTCTCCAAAATATGGTAGCTTATCTTACTGTTAAATCATGTCTCACCAACGTCCTGGACAATTTTTTTTTCTTCAAAATTTGGCAAAATCACGAAAAAGTGTTCGGTCGAAGTTACTGATTTAGAATGGTCCGACATGCTACCTTCAAAGACAATTATAAACTTCAAGTCTCTTAACTCGTTACCGATTAATTGATGGTCAATTGGGCATGACCATTAGCCGTACACATGAGTTCTATTAGTTTAATGCGAGAAAGTACGATAGATTCGGAGCGCATGTTAGTGGAAAGGTTCGATAGAAATTAGTGAGAATATTTCGAAACAGACAGCTCAGAGCTTTCGTTGTTTGTTGTAAGCTAGTAACACGTCGAGAACAATTCAATAGTTAATAGATAACAATTATATCAAATATACATTTTAGATAAACGAAATTGCACGCAATAAACACTTTGATTATAAGGGACACATTTTTGGTGCTTTAAAGACTAGGCAAAAAAAAATGGTTCACTCTCAAGGATCTTCGTAGAAGTTTTCTACTACTGTATACACGTTGCATCTGCTCTATGTATAGCGTCTATGTCGTGAGACAAAATGCAGCAATCTTTAAAATACGTGTAGGGGTGATATTTGAACCTTGGAAGGCTGACGGTGCGGAACACCCATGAAAACTGAAATGAAGCAAGGGCAATCGCAGTCGATCATAGAACACACACTTGGATAAAATTCAAAATCCACGCTAGACACTATACAAAGAATAGCTTGTGAGGAAACGGCAAAAATATTATCCGCCACTAGCGCAAGTGGCGACCAGATTCAAATCCAATTTTTTCTTGAATTTTCAAAGAGTCAAAATGTACTAGCGTGCCGATTGCAGGTAGGTTAATAGGAAGGGCGCGATGATCAACGTGACTGAGGTGAAGAAACCGGTGTTGAGATAGATTGTAGTTAAGTGGCCTTGGAAGATCTTAATTTGGTTTGTAGTAGCAGCAGTAGTCTATGCCGACGTCAATTGGCTGAGGCGTGTGTCAAGCGTCAATGATGCATATCAGAGATGGTAATGGAATACAATTTAGCTTTAACCGGGCTTGGCAAGTTCACCTTTGTTCCGGGGTTGAAGGTGTTTTAGGGGGACTAGAAGTGGGCGAAGCTAGTTCGTCCACGAGACCCTTCACACCGCTACACATCCACGTCTTAAAGCTGTAACGACAATCCACGACCGTTATGCTCCCTATATCTATGCTACTCAAGCGCTAAGTTCGGTTGACAGAGATTGATACGTGAACTTTAGAAGCTTTTTAAGCACAATAACAAGAAACCAATAGTGTATTACTTACAAAATTATTGTATCGTCGTTGTATGTATCGCTAAAAGCAATGGACAAAGATGATAAGCAATCAATACTGAACCTGTTTTGACAACCGCTAGAAAAAATCTGTATTAAACTTGCATGAACCCAACTTTGTTATTCAATTACGGTCTACGGGGTGCATTCAGACTCAAACCGACAATGTCTTTACGACAAACAGATGGTACATTAAATGCTACTTACCCTGAAAGTGAACTGAGCGTCCCAAGGCAAAGCTTAACTTTGACCTCATAATCGACTACGATGCCAAACAGGTTCTTCCGCTGTTCCTCAGAAACTCTACAAAAACAACGATACCCAAGTTCGAATTTGTGATGCTAATAGTGGATTCCTGTGTAACGTGCTGCATATTCAAAGACATTTGAATTGGGTTCACTATCGGTGTTCTCTTGCTACAAACAAGCTCGACCGTTACTATTAACGAAAATATTAGCATTTATGTAATTACATTAGCCATCTGTTCATTCAATTTGTCTTAGAGCCGTGTGTGGCTTACTTCCGAATAATTGTAAAAACGTTCCACGTCTAGCGATGTCTGCCATTCATCCATTACAAACCAGCGGACGAGTGAAGCCAGTCATTAACGCTTTGCCGTAACTGTGATGAAACTTTCATTCCGTTACAGGTATAAGTGCCGTACTAGTACTAAAGAAGTGAACAACTCGATCAGGTCGCGTTGCGCTGCCTGTAGGTAGGCTACACCAGTTCCGCCTGTGCAACTTTACACATCATCCATAGGCACTTCTATTGGACCATTTTATTGGCGTGTAACTTGGGCTTTCCGAAAAAAGCAATTAGTTTAATTCAAGTGTCCACGTTCAAACTATCGGAACTTAGAAAGCGAATATAAACATCATTGTCTTCTAGTTAAAAAGACAGATAGCAAGGTCCGTAAAACGCTTCTTAATGGCAGATCGACATACCAGTGGGTAAGGCAATGGAGATGGTTTAGATTTTTTGACTTGGACAACAGAGGTCGTATAGTCAACCCGACCCGGAAAAATCATGATAGTGTTGAATTGCTTAAAATAAATTATGATATGCAGTGCAGAGCATGTTTGTGGGGTACGATTGGTAAGGGCGTAATAATGCGGAGGTAATTTCGAAAGAATAGCACCCCTCGAAAAGTTGGTTTTAGAACGACGTAGCGACGTAAAATGATAAGTATGTCCCTATAATATGTCTGTGGGTGCCATTTTTAAGCTGGACTTACGTTCAAAAAAGAATTATTACTATTGAATATAATATTA